GCTCTGTGAATTGTAGTTCAGAGCACAAGAAATGACATTGTCTGCTCTTTTACTTTAGTTTCTCTGTAGAAACACCAGTGCACACTTCTGGACTTCAAACGGCCATATCTCTTATACTTTAATTTTTACTGGTGTTGTGAAGGTGATGCATGGACTACTTATAAAAGAATGTACATTCACATTGAATAATTATGTAGTGAACTCAGCATATTATGTATGTCAGATTGTGCTATATGCATACTTTTATCATCACAGGATTTTGGAGCTTAACGCATCAGATGAACGAGGTATTCAGGTAATCCGTGAAAAGGTGAAGAATTTTGCTCAGTTTTCAGCAAGCGGCGTTCGCCTTGAGTGAGTATAAATCTGTCATACTCAGTTGGTTATAATTCTGTTGATGTGATGCTGGCATAAAACCTGAATCAAGATGAATGTACAATATGCCCAGGTTTCTTATGTGTGGCCCTTATCTTAATTTTTGATTGAGAGTTTTGAATCATCATTATTGATCATATAACTTTAACAAAACTGGGTAAAGTGTGTTAAATGTGAAGTTCCTCATATTAACGAATGAAAACATAAGGTTTTTATTCCTGCACATGATTAAGTACTACTAACATGATGACAAAGTGAGCTGTCAGTTTTGTCAGCCTCAGGATGGCGAATGAGTGAGACACCTAATATACATCTAGCAAATAAGGATGCTGATCAAAATACTTCAAAGGGAGAGAGCTCTTTAGATAAATATGAGGATAATATTAAAATTGATATTGAGATAAATAGTTTGTGAAAATGTGAACTGGATGGAAGTACTTATGAATGAAAGTTGTGGATTTTTGTTGTGCAGTGACATTTCTTCCAGTCCTGGAATTGTAGGAAATTTTATGACACTGAACTTTCTATTTCTCAAGAAACATTTTTTTCAATGTTCAATTTGTATTGGTTCCAGACTTATGGCTTCGGTTTCAGAGTTGTTCCTAGCAAATTGGGATGTCAGTAACTCTTTGGGTCTCTTTCAGTGGGAGGCCATGCCCACCATTTAAGATTGTGATTCTGGATGAGGCAGATTCGATGACACAAGCAGCACAGGCTGCACTGCGTCGAACAATGGAAAGAGAAACTAAAACAACGCGGTTCTGCTTGGTCTGCAACTATGTCAGTCGTATCATCCCTCCTATCACTTCCCGATGCAGCAAGTTCCGCTTTAAACCACTTGGTGAGTGTACTTTATTTAGATATGCAAACATACGAAATGTCATGACGTGTATAATTTCTGTCAGTTTGTGACATACTGTTAGCATTCCTGTCAGTAAAAAAATGTCATTGAAATCCTTTATTCAGATCTTTAGTCAAAATGGAAACCTAAAGTAATACTTTGAAGTGTTTTGTTTAAAAAGGGTTTTCAGTTTAATTTAATTTCTCTGTTAACCTAAGTCACAAATGTAAATGAGTTTTGTAAAACATTATAACAACATAATGGGATAAATATTTTGTCTTAAAAATTATCAGTTTATTCCTGTTCTTAAATAAGCACACCATGGAAATGTATGGAGAAGTTGAGGTTAATTCCATATTACCCTTGGCATCACATAGGTGCATCGTCAGCTTTACTCTGATCACCTCGCTCCTAGGAAAAGAACCCTCGATTCCAGTGGATATAAGCCTTGGTGAGACCTAGAACCAGTCTCAATATGGTGGCAAGGAGAAAAATCTCTGCTCATTTTCGTCTTTAGCCGCTTACTCTAGTGTTTTTACACAGTGAACTCTGTGAGAAATTTGATGAATTGTGTGTCAATTTAGATGGTAGTGGGAGACCTGTGTTGACTCTGCATACAGGTACATAAACATACCCATCATGAGTCAATCTGCGAGGGAAACATTTTGTCGTATTTTTGCAGGGAATGAGCTGATTTCAGAGCGACTTCAGTTGATCTGTTCGGAGGAGAAGGTATCATGCAGTGAAGATGCTATGAAGTGTTTAGTGGAGACGTCTGGAGGTGATCTACGTCGGGCTATCACCTGCCTTCAGTCCTGTAGTCGTCTCAAGGGCTCCGGTAGTGAGATATGTGCAGAGGACGTGCAGGAAGTGGCTGGGGTCAGTGGCTATGTTTCAGTCACACTTTAATTTCCAGGTGACATTCTGTTTGTCCACATTAAGACAGAAGTTAACTCTTATCCTACAGACTGGTTTTATGCATCCTCCAGAGTTCAATGTTATTAATGCAGAGCCTGTCAAACATCTTTGTATGTCCCCACCTGGCAAAGCCAAAGGAATCCCAATGATTGATTAATAGAAGGGATATACAGATTACTGTTTTATATCCCAATGAGACCCTTGTATTCTGTGCTTGTTTACATTTTCTAAAAGGTGATGGTTGGGTGAAGCATGTAGAAAAATCACCCTGGATTGAGTTGACTTTGCAGGCCGGTATCGAAGAGTTAGCTTGCCAGGTTTGTTGCATGTATGAGGGGCAGTCAAAAAGTTCCCGGAATTGTGGTATAGCACTGTAATGGTAGGACATATGACAACGCTTACCTAATCACCTTCAAAGTAGGACCCTTGCGCACACACACACTTGCTCCATCAATCCTGCCAATCCACACATCGCTGGTTGTGCAGCAATTCCTCGCCAAGAAAAGCATGCCCATCACCCAACCACCATACTCTCCGGATCTCGCTTCAAGTGACTTCTGGCTGTTCCCTACTCTGAAAATGGACCTCAAGGGGATGCATTTCGCAACCATGGTGGACATCAAATCGAATGTGACAGCCGACCTCCAGAAGATTCCAGATGAAGCCTTCCGCCGGTGCTTCCAACAACGGCAGGATCGATGGAGCAAGTGTGTGTGTGCGCAAGGGTCCTACTTTGAAGGTGATTAGGTAAGCGTTGTCATATGTCCTACCATTACAGTGCTATACCACAATTCCGGGAACTTTTTGACTGCCCTACGTATGTGAGTCATAGATCTCCATTTCTCAAAAACTGCAGATGCATAATAAAATTAATTGCACCTAATGTCATCCAGTGCATCTTTCTAGGTCGTGCCTCTGGAATGGGTGAATCGTGTGCTGGAAGTCTGTCGTCTTAACAGCTATGAGATGTTGACAGATTTTGTGGATAAGCTGATGGAGGAAGGGTACTGTGCTGGTCAGGTGAGATTCGTGTTGGCATTATGCACTTCCTGTTGCGTTATGCACTAAGTGTTAACTCGTGTGGACCCTTGAGGGAATGCTAGACTGGGTTCATAATATAAAATACTCCGTAGTATTCACTTGACAACCCCTCACCATCCTAAGTTAAATGTTGATAGTGGTGCTTCCACCATATGATTTGCCAGTGTCCATGCTGATGATATTTGTTGATAGAAGGTTAAAATATGAACATGGACGTTACACTATTCTGGCTTTACGTTAATATTGAATGAAATGAAACTCGGTAAGTTGTTGCGGAAATTACGATGATACCATAAAATAAGGAAAGATGGTTAAGAACTAAGTATTCGTGCCAGTCTGATACTTTTTTTTGTTTTGTTTATGCCTCGTAGCTCATAGAGCAGCTACATGAAGTGATTGTATTCGACAACGACCTTACAGATGAACAGAAGGCTTTCATCTGTGACAAACTGGGGGTGAGTCTTATTTGTTGAATAGCTGTGAAATTACATTATAGCACAAAGTAAGAATTGAAAAATGTGTTGGGTTGTGTATTTTAAGTTATCTGTATCCCGTCTTGTGCCACAGGTCTGTAGCTTCCGGATGCAGGATGGAGGAAATGAATATATCGGTTTGCTAGATTTGGGCTGTACAATCATCAAAACATTGAAGATGTAAACGCCAGTCAGACCGGAATGTTGTCCAGTGCTTGGTGTAAAACTCACATGTGACTAAAATGTGGTTAAAGAGTAAGTGGGTTTGTGTTAGTCCTGGAATTTTAATTGTTTTTCATGTGTAATGATTTGGATTGGTGTAATTTTCTCGCAGTCGTGTAGTACGTAAGCTGTAGCTTAGCTTTTGTGTATTGCCTCGGAATAATTTGTCATGTTTCATTGGTTGTTGACTTATTAATTATATGAATACACTGTTGACTGCTTCCATGCAGTGTGTGAGTAAAAAAATATTTTCTACAGATAAAAGTAAATGTTTCCTAATGTTGTTTTTGGAGACGTAATTTCACGTCCTGTGATACACGAGTTTCTCGTCGGAAGATTTACTTGCACATTTTTACAAGTATTGGTGCTGTTCTGATTTTATTCTTTTCAAGAAGCGAGTGTATGAAACGACCGTTAGTTATGATGCTGGCTGTGGTCCATACACTGTTAATTGAATTTGAGGTCCTCATGACAGTGACATTGTGTGGACTTGTAGATAATATATTAATTTTAGATGAACATACTTCCTTAATCTTCAGCACTTCAGCTATAAAAATGGAGTTGGTATGTTCCTCCAAAAGATTTTTTTTAAAAAAGTCTACACAGCGTTACTACCCAGAGGACCAACATCAACAGTTACTTGAAATTCACACATGCCTTATAGCCTTTTCAGTGAACTATTTTGAAGTGGAATTTTGATTTGGAGGATTTTAAAAAAAAAAATAACTGTAAAGGGTGTTTTTTTCTGTGCCTAAGCACCATGCCATTCTAGTGTGTGTGTGTGAATGGAGGTAAGGCTCAACTTATTATTAGTAGGAGGTGATTGGTGCGGAATGTCTTATAGACATTCTTTTCGTACTTGAGGACATCCTCAGATTTATGCCTTGGTAGTGAAAGGAATTTTAAGTGCAAGATTAGAGAGGTTATTTGGCACATGTAAGTCTGCATAGCTTTAGATTCAGGCAATGATTGTTACCGCCTTGTAATGTATTCCTCAAATACCAGCACCCCCCTCATTGTGAAAGTGTACATGGGTATATTCCAGAAGAATGTTCATGTGATATTCAGATGTGTTGTAACAATGTCAGCATATATGTACCATCTGTAAGACAATTTTATAAAGAATACCTTAATGGAATTACAAATTCTATGTAAGATTTGAGGTTTTTGCAGCAGTATGAGTTTAGTCTTGTTCGATGGGATTTTGGACTTTGTCCATCGTCTGATGTAAAATTACACAACTTTGTCCATCAGACAATGGACAAAGTTCAGAAACCCATCAATCCAGACTGTGTTCTACCATCATCATAGCCTTTCAAAATAGTAAGAGTTTAGATGCAGTCTTCTGGGCCATCATATCCTGCTAAATGTCAAGAGTAACCTGTGCAAGAAATCAGTGCATGGACATGATCATCATTATCATCAGCAGAGGATAAATTCTCCCTGAGCAGGTTATGGAAGAATCTTTTTCAAATCTTTATATGATGAAATCAGGTTCTCTCAGCACAAGATGCATGTTTTTGCTTCATTTAACCTTTTTATTACTCCTATTGGCCTAGAATACCCCCATTACTCCTATTGGTCTATCTTCCTGATCTGATCCTCCACCCAAACAGTCATAACCCAATAACTTGTTGACTTGTCATTTCAACACTTCAGGTGCTGGAAACTGTGACATATTTTTTCAGTTGAAGGTTTTAAAACATAGTTTGGAGTTATTTCAAATTCATTTGTTTCAAGGGAAGTTGTACTTGTGATTTGTGTAATTTGAAGAGAATAAAAGTGATGCTACATTTACAGTTGCTTTGTGCTTAAACCAGGGCTTGACATGCCTGAAAAAGGTAAATCTTAAATTAGGGCTTGACATGCCTGAAAAAGGTAAAATGTCATGTAGGAACATGTCGGTCAGTGTACTATGTTTAATATCTCAATATTCATATGTGATAGTTTTATATTTGAATGTATGTTACTGATGTCATCTTATGACTCAGAATTATGGTGGATAGGTTATGGTTTTTTTATATCAATACATATATATTTTAATATTTTCACTTTTCTTGAAGCTTTGTATTGAGCTCTGACAATCAAAGCAACAATTAGGGACATCAGAGAATTTTCTTTTCTTGTTTCATGTGCAATTGCTGATTGAAGGTGGCAAATCAGAATCGGACATTTTCCGGGTACCTTGACTGGCAGATTTTTGTGGCTTTTCTCAGTTGAAACAAATGTAGGGATGATTTTTCAGGATTGCCAATTTTCAAATTCTTTTCCCATATCTCATAATCAGCCGGAGCGCATAAAAGAAAGCCATTGAAAACTTAGCAAGGTGATGTATGGTAAAACAAATTATTGTAATTAATATCCAACGCTGGTGTTTGTGTTTAGAAACGAATTGTGGGCGCCATTTTTACCAAGGTCAGCTCTGGTGCCAGGTTTGGAAAAAGTTAATGATTTCTGTTTTAACGTTAGCGACAGTGGTTGATTAAACGAGAGTAAATTCTCGAAACGCCATGTTTTCATAGGTGGGAAATATCCAACATAATTTTGGTACAACTGATAATTTCGTGCAGATAAATGAGATGTCTACCGCCGCTTCTGCGCATGCGTATTGATTTGTGTTGTAGTAGTAGTAGTAGTAGCCCCGGAGAGATCGCGCGCAAGATGGGAATGCGGATTAGTTCAGTTCAGTTCAGTTTAGTCAAAGAAGGAAGAGGAAGGTGTTTGGCTGTCGTTTTGCGACTGCTCAGGTAATGTTCGTGCCATGTGGAGCTTAGAAGGATTATCTGCTGCCCTGGTCTCGAAATTTATAACAGAAATTTGTTATATCCATAGTATTATTATTATTAGTAGTAAATTGGCTCGGCAATAGTAGTGTAGTAAAAAAATACTGAAGGTTTGCAACGTACAACTTAAATAAGCATCATAACACGTAGTTGCCATAACAACGCTGAATATGTGAACGATCAAGGTTGGAGTGACTGGTCATTTTGTGAACCCATTCAACTGAATAAATGGCACAATGCCCATCTGAATGTCATAGCATTTTTGCAATTTTTTTTTTGAGTCTGGGTTAAAATATTTGTGGATATTATTTTAACCTGGATGTTTGGAATCTTTCTTCCATTTTGAATGTCAAAATTCATTACATCAATAAAGTTTATTCATAACTCGGAAAAAAGTTAACCAAAAGCAAATTCAGTTTGGATACTAAGTGCATTTATTTAGTTCTTGTGAATTTTAATCGTTGCATAATACTGCTGAGTTTTGTATTGCAACAAGTGATAAGTTATGTTGATTAAATCTTTAACTGTGGTTGTTCAATTTTGCTACGAAGAGCATTTCGTAAGTTATGAATAGGAGTCTATTGAGCCCAAAAGCTTCGACGTTCAATTTACGGTCAGAAGGCGAGGGTTGGAGAATGTGTACCCAGAAAATGGAAGTTACAGGTTCCTCCGAAATTATGGCCAATGCCTTCAAGATTTTACATTAACGGTGGAGAATTTAATTTGAATTAATAGTACTAGTAAAGTGGCCGACTTTCACCTCCATCTAGTGCCTAGATTAAAAATGCGCAAAACCTTAATTCCACTCCGCCATGGGTGGCTTCCAATGACAAAATTTCATGAAAGAGTTGAATCTTGGTAAACTGTGAAGGCATTTGATACGAATAAATCACGATTTTGCACTAACAAGGGAAACCTCACCTGAAATTTCGCTCATCCACAGAGCCCATCTAGTAATGATTGAACACAAAATTTCAGCTGCTGATACGCTGTGCAAGGGCGCGGAAAAAAATTGCTCAAAGTTGGTATGTATATTTAAAATTCGCGCCACCGCGCATGCGCGTGACAGCAGCGCGGCATTCACCGGTACATTCCAGCGGACAGCATTTTTAAAAAAAGGGCAAATGAAATTGTAAAATTTTCTTCATGCCTCTTATCATTACTTTTAAATTTATTTCCTTCTTATAGAGAAAATATTTAATATTAATTTATGGTTTTTACGGTTAGGATTGAATGTAACCAAATTATATCTTTGAGTAATTCTCTTTGTATTATTTTTAACTAAAAATAATGCGTGAATATTGAACGAAAATGGCCAGCTTTTATATGAACACCTGCGTGTACAACAGTGTAATAAGTACTGGAATTTCTAAACCACACCTGCAGCAATATTGACTGAGCATGCCATAAGGTTCATTTCTCATTTCTTACGCATGCAGTATAATAGACTGGATAAACCGTATTGCACTCCATTCCTTTAATAATTGTTACGTCATTGTTTTCTTCGGGATTGTCGCATTAATAAATATTGGAGTCAACAATCCGCTTTCGTCAGTGTGGAAAGAGCTGAGCTGTGAATCGGTTGTAGGAGAAGTGCATCGTAAAAGAGATACTTTTGTGCTTTTAAAAGTCTTTCGCATTAACCAAAGTAACTTATCTTCTGTGAATTACTAGGAAAGTCTTGACTTGTCCTTAACTCTCTCCAGTTTATTTTTCCGGCGGACTTCGTGGTCTCTTCCTTTTGAAGAAAGAGTGAGGTTAGGGCATCCTATTTATTATTATTATTGTTTGTTTGTTTTTCTATTATATTTATTGTTAGTGCTTGGCTGTTGCCAAGCACTAATAAATCAATTGAATTATTGCTTATAACATTTACAGGTTTTTATTTACATTTGTGAACTCTTTGAAGAGAATTAGGCTTGTCTTCTTTCAAACACAAATTCAATTCTTTATTCCACTGACTTCTGTTTATTTACGGAATTATTTATAATAAAAGAATTCCGTTAAACAGCGTGGGATTCGAATTTCTAAAGCAACAAGACATGTTTAAACCCTTGAAAGCCTGGTGGTAATTATATATACCACTTGCCTGCTTTAACAGTCAGTAGCTTTTCATTATGCATTTGTCGGACTCATTTGATTCTCATTGTAAAAAGGGAAATTATCCTTTAAATGTATTAACCGGTTGATCTTTGTAATGGAGAAGTGTAGTGTTCTCTGTGCGGTACGGACTGAATTTTTCCAATGATATTTAGACGAGCTCCGGCATCAAAGGGTTAATAAATGGGGCCTCTGTTACGAAAGATAATTCTATCACTTTAGATTTATTGATCCATGAACTTTGTTAGAGATTTTGAGCGAGCTGCAAAGAATTCGTTTTGTTTTTATTAATAATCTATGCGCTATATAATTGTCTGAATAAACTGAAATGCTCGGTTACATTTCCTAGGAAACAATAATTGTTACGTCATAGTTTTCGTCGGCATTGTTGTATTAGTAAATATTTACGTCAACAATCGGAGAGAACAGCTATGAATACACTTTTGTGCTGTTAAAAACCCTTCAGAATAACCCAAGTACTTATCTTATATAAGAATTATTAAGAAATTTGTGATACTGTCCTCCAGTCCTCCATTTTATTTTGATTAAATTGTTTATTGCCAGTGGCGCGAATTTTAAATATGCAGTCCAATTTTGAGCAATTTTTTTCGAACCTTTGCACAGCGTATCAGCAGCTGAAATTTTGTGTACAATCATTACTAGATGGGCTCTGTAGATGAGAGAAATTTCAGGTGAGGTTTCGACATGACCAACCGGACCATTCCCTTGTAAGCACTGAACTCGATTCTGCCATTGTTTAAGTAACACTCGTAAAGTGAGTTGTGATTAATTCCAGGCCCTTATCTAGTGTAGCCTATCTATTGTTAGGTTAAGGGCCCTTGTCTCCGGTAAAACGGAACATGTAGCTTACGCCTATCCCTGCTCGAATCTCAGGATGTCTTGTGTTTGTCATGGTTTTCTCCAGTATCCACATGAGAATGCTGACAGAATGCCTTCAACTAGGGCACTTCTCTCTCGTCCCAAATCCTTATGCGAGCCTCGTGATCATATGAAATGTGCATACAAACAAATGTCCATCCTTTTCTCGGACTGGGACCTGTTCATATACGTTCTTGGCAGATGATCCAGAAGTGGTTTGCCATTGCCTTCTTCTGTGTGTGAATGGAGTAATTGTTGGGATGCCACGGAGGAAAACTCCGTGTTGCCTAGACCACGGCCTTGCCCAACACAAGTTATAAATTCGGGCACCGCCGGGAATCGAACCCGAGACCCCCCAGGATTACAAGGCCAGCGTTCTAACCGCTAGACCACCGTGGCTCTTTGTGCAGTTATTTGAGAGAAAAAAATGTCTCTGCATGCAAAGAATTTACACGAAGACGATGGAGTACCATTTGATTCCACAATATTTTATCGCAGTTACGTCACCGAACAGCTAGGCGGAAAATAATGTGGCGTGATGGGACAATAGTATTTTGTCTTACGGAAGA